CGGCTTCAAAATATTAAACTCTACAGGATTCACTTACATAATGTGGAAAGTAACTCCCTTTTCAGTAGAAGTTCTCAGGCAATCAGCCAGATCAGACCATTCTAACACTACCCCCATATTTCACCCCTCCAAAAATTTAAGTAGTATATATTTTATAAGCAGTATAGGAGGGAGAAGTGAAATTACTAATATTTATCTTGAAGGCAAACTTAAAACTTCTCTCAGACAACAGCTGTTTCCAGAATCCCAAATACATCTTCTTTTTAATTCTTAAGAAAACTGCCAAACATCTAATTTCTTCTCGGTTTTAAGCAAACTATACTTCTTCCCTGTTTCAGAAAAGAAATTCCATCCTAGTAATAATTAAGGGAAAAAACTCACTGAAGCAAAGGAGCACTGATAAAGTTTTAGCAAGGATACATACACCTCTTTACTGTGAACAGCAAATGAATTCMATTTCTTTTGACATGTTACTGGCTCTTTCCTCAGGGGCTACACCTGAACAGAGAAGGTTTCTTGACACTTTAAAGCAAGGTAATAACACATTATATTGGACTGAAACTTTCCAGTTTTAGCTAGCAGAGCAGGTGCCAGGAAAAGCAGCTCAAACTCTGATCATTCTGGTCTCAATCTCGATGYGAGGGTTCCCCAGCTCACAAGTGCCCTGCTCCAACAGGCTGTGCTTGGCGAGCAGCTCACACCAGAAGGTGGTTTCAACAAGATGTCTGGCAGATGAATTCCCACCTTCACAACTATCTCTAGTGTTAAATAATGCTGCTGGTGATGAGAAGTATGTAGTGCTGGAGCAGCTCAGGAATGCAAAGAGCTGCTGGAAAGGAAGGAAGGAATCCTGCATGCAGCACAGAAAATACTCTCCTGCCTTCACCAGGACTATGGTTGTGTTGTGTTTATTCCCACCGACAGACAATGTGGTGGMATTTGATCAGCACTGACCCCGAGGGTGAAGTACCATCCCTGAAATCYGTGATGTTCCCTTTGTTTTTTGAAGCTTGTCATTTAAATTTCAATTCAGCCAGGCAATGCTTTCAGATTTGATGAGAATACAAGAAAACACAGCATGATTTACATGTATTAAACCTGCAGGTCTGAAGCACTGCCCTAAAATTAGACTCTTACCAGAGATAATCACCATAACCATTCCTTTTTCATTACATTTTCACAAGATTATTTCTATGATAATACTTTTAAGAGGGTTGATATGAAAATGTCAAAATGTAATCTCATTACAGAAGATGGGAAGGTAGCTAAGGACATGAACTCTTGCAATTATATCTTTGAAAAGGCATATTCTTATGAATAGGAGTTCAAACCAATTTGAATTAAATGCACGGGATATTAATTTACATCTACTTAAAATCAAGACATAAAGTACATTGCTTTAACAATGTTTATTGTTGCATCATAGACCCACTAAAATATCTGGGCAACTGACAATGTAAAAATCAGCCAGACAATGCTTTGTTTGAGATTTGATGGGAATCAAATGGGAATCTCAGGAAAATGCATGAAAATGTTATTTACATATATTAAACTTGTAGGTCTGAAGGGGTCTCTGAAAGTGTTCTCTCTGACATGAGGCTGTAGCCAGGTTGGGGTTGGTCTCTTCTCCCAYATAAAAAGTGAAAGRACCAGATGAAATGGCCTTAAGTTTAGATTGGATATTAGGAAAAAWTTCCTCATGGAATGGGTAATCAGGCATTGAATCAGGCTGTCCAGGGAAGTGGTGGAATCACCATCTGTCCAAGTGTTCAAAAGCTGCACAAATGTGGCGATTGGGGATATAGTTTCATGGTGAAAAAGGTGGTACAGGGTTGATAGCTGGACTCAATGGTCTTATGAGTCTTTTCCAACCTTAATGATTCCATGATTCTAYGAAAATGAAAGCAACCCSTTCAATATTTGTGACACRCAGCTGTGTTTCAAGTAAGCTCGCGTTTCCTGAGAACAGCAAGAACAATTTTTTATTTACAGATGCACAGCAAAGTGCTAAAACATCTTCCAACAAACCAGCTCACTGTCAGATTTCGGCAGGATCATTCTCCCAGCGCTCCAGCCAGCTCTGGCAGCAATCAGATTCTCCTTCCAGCCAGAGAAGACATTCCCACCCGTGTATGGCAAGCAGCTCTCCCCTGTCACCACATGTTTCAGCCTGCCACAGTGCACTGCTAAATACAGTGGTGCCCTCTAACCCCAAAATGCACTCACTCATTCCTGCTCCTGGTGGCCTTGCACATTCCCAGCTATGGCAGCACTGCAATGACAGTGATCTCTACAAGTATTTTTCCACTTTCTTACTGCTCCTCATATCCCAAATATCCCTGAAGCTGAAGGAACAGTGTGACATCCTGAGTATGTTCTGAGATCAAGCAGAAAAACTGGCAAATTAAGGCCATTTTAGCTACACATGGCTAGGTAGATTAGCATTTCTGTCTCATGGAGAGATCCTTTTTGTTTGCAAAAGGATGTTTGTTAGCAAAACCAATTATCTGCATCCATCTAAAGCATATTTTTAAGACRGATGTTTTTCTATTATATATGCCTCAGGTGACATACAAATGTCACTGAATTGAAAATAAAAAGCATGTCTTATCTAACAAGGGATAATAAGCAAGGAGAGCAAAGTTTTTCAGGGGAAAATATTAGGATGGTGAATATAGACAAAGTTTTAGATAAATGGAAGCATGTTCATGGACTGGGCTTTACAATTTTTCATTACACAAAAACTAGATGATGCATTTAAAAGATGGTAGATCGACTATTCAGKGCCAACAGACATTGAGCATTTATATTTCATATGTGCCTCATCCAAGTAAGAACCACGTCAGTCTCAAAAGAATCACTACTTTGCTTTTCTCAATTTGGTTATTTTCCTTCTTAGAAACAAATAGAATGAATATGCAAAGAAAGAAAAAATACCATGAAATTTAATAATAAAACACCAAAAGGAAATATGCTAATTTTGTTAAGGAACTACATTGTTTAAAACAATGACATCTTTTCAACAGTAGAATTTCAAGTTTCATTTGTTCTCTCAGATCAGAGATGAAAATTTACCAAACAGAAAAAAAAAAGTCAAAATAAAACATTTTAAAGATGAACAAAACTTGTTCTATTAAAACTTAATATACGACATATATTTAAAATTACAATATTATAGCTAAACCAGTTACTAAAACAAGCAGCCAACCATGAGAGAACTTGAAGTTTTCTAACCATCAGAGTATTGCTGGAACAACATTATGATTTCAAGGCGCTTTGCACTTGGTCACCTCAAGAAGACAGCACAGGACTGCCACCTTGTGAAAAACAAAAAACATCAGAGCCACATTAACAGGRAAATACCCAACTGCCTCCAGACACTACAGGATACTTTTTCCTTACTTTCTAACAGAAATAATCCATGTTATTATCAACCCTGTAGAAAATTAATGCATAAAAAATACTTCAGCATCACTTACAGTATAAAATTCTTGCTAATTTTGAACATGAAGGTATGTAGTCAAAGCAGTTAAAAGGAATGAACTATAGAATGCTCACAAATAACAGAAAATGCAGTTCACAGCATAAAGGATTATCAAAYTTTCTATCTTGCTGAATAACAACATATTTTTAACTACAAGAAAAAAAAGAGCTCTATTATTTATCTTCTTTTTCTCCCATTTCAAAACAATTGAGCCATGCTGTGACTGAACAGCTATTTTTATTATTCCAACAGTTACTGAAAAATCATCTTCTTTCTCTCTAAGAAAAACCAAACCTGAGCCATTTTTTCAAGCATTATAGAAATGTTAGCCATGCTAGTTTTTGGCTTTAACTTGATAATTTCAAGGAATCAGTGTGATTTAATTCTAAATTGATAACTGACTAATAAAATTTACAAGAAATGAATATTTGAAAGCTGTTGTAAGAAATGTCATTGCTAAATGACACCTGCTGAGAATTAACCTATAGTGAGCAATTATGGTTCTTATGATTCTAGAAGACCTTCACACCATAAAATAGGATAAATACAATACTTTACACATGTCTTTAAGGAAAACAGCTAATAAATTACAAACGACAATGGAAATATCTCTGGAGCAAAACACTAGTTTCAGCTTTTYAACACATTTAAACAGTCCCATTGCTATTTGCCGAGTTCTAGGAGATACTGGTGGAATTTGGAGAGTTTTCTTTATGACCAATTCTGATACGAATATAACAACCCTGATTTTTGGACTGATTTGGCTAACATTGAATATTACCTGCAAACACCCTCAGGTTCATCGGCAAGAGTGAAAACAGAGCTTTGCTTTACAAATATATTCTCCTTTCATACTTCAGCAATTCATCAACTTCCCTTTTTAATTAAACTTATATCAATTCAGCCTCCTTTCAAATGAGCAAAATGTATTAAGCATAATTGTACTTTTAAATTAAAATCTGTAAGTATAGTGATAAATTCCATTATAAAATATTATGCCATTTTATAGTATTGATTAAACAGCCCCAAYAGGCCACACCTGTGAGAGACACCTCTCTACATGGAATTTTTCTAGTGTCTTGTGAAGTGGAGCTCACTAGAAAGGTATTGTACCCTAAATTTTGGTGGACTTTTTGCACTCATTTTTCTCTACAAAAAAATTGTTTTAAAACTGTACATATTTAAATTGGTTATTTTCACTTGAAACAATTACCACTTTTGTTAAGAGCATGAAACATGAACAGTCTCTCAACAGTGTTGATCATCAAAGGCATTTAAAACCAGTAATAGACATGCTGGTCAAAACACTGTGGACTACACACAGAAGAATCTTTGCAAGGGACAATTTTTTTTTGTCAAGAGAACATAAAACTCCCCTACATAAAACCAGAAAAGCGACTTGGATCTAAAATACAATTTGGAATACAAGACAGARCCCCATGCCTTCCTATGTTACCATTCCAACTCAGTAGTAGTATTTCAGGGCACAAATGAAGATGCACTTAAGCAGGCAAACTCTCTTTATCTTATGATTTTATTAGCAGGGCATACAAAAACAAAATTGGAAGCAGAAGGCACGCAACATTTCCCTTCCCAAATYTGTGATACTAAAATCACAACACAACATCCTGGACTCTGCCAGGGCCACGCTGGATTCTTAAAAACAATCCATTTCAGGCTCTCTCTTGTCCCTGCAACTTGAAGAAACAAATAGGGAATGATTGAAAATGGCTCTCCCTATGGCACAGATTGACACGCTGGCAAAAGGCCAAGAAGCAAAGAGCAACCTGGCAAATATCTTAAATTCAATACAAATGCACCTACTCATTGAAGAGTGTCTTGAGGGTTTCCTTAGGAGCAACRGYTGCAAAGACCTTGATYGGATCTGAGCTCACCACACCCATCAYGGTGTTAGTACAGGGAAGGAATGGGAGCCAATATCCTGAATATTATATTGTAATAGAAAACAGCAACTGTAACTCCCCAGTACTGACCTCTTGAGACACAATTCCATTTCAGAGTCACTAGAGCGGCAATAGTATGACATGTTCACAGAGATTTGGCTGCAGCATTTTCATTACAGAACAATTATGAATTTAAAGAGGCTACACAGCACCTGAAGTTTTGGACAGCACCCTCCCCTGCCACATACTTCAGCAATCAAATATTTTTGAGACTTTATTAAGTCATTTACTGACAGGAACCATTACAAACTTCTTTACTCTGATTATAATGCACACTAGATGCTTTAAAATATTTATACATATATATATATATATATATGTATATATACACTGCATTTTACCTTTGTAAAACAAAATATATACACTCAAGTTACATTAAATTTTAATAAACATAAAAATATTTAAAATAATAATTTAAAAATGCCATTAGGATTTCTTGAAGATTACACATCAAAGATTTTTGAAACACTCAGTGCAACTCAGGAGTGCACTCAGAACTCATTTCAACACACACCTGTGAGCACAGAACAACGGGACATAAAAGCTTGATTATTTAAGAGGGCTGAAATCCACTGCATGTTGCAGTCTGACATCTGTAAATTACTCCCCTTCTAACAGGTCACATTATCAAATGCAATTTATCTTTTGTTGTACAGTAACATTTATTGCCCCAAAGAATGCACACGCACATARCCTCCACTGTGTTTTCTAAATAACAGTTTGAAATAAAATGTTCAAAATGCTCCAGTGTTTTAAGAGCCTACATTCTGTTCACAAAAGTAATGTAAGTATTTACTGACAAAAAAAGTAATGAAAATTCAGTTAGATGTAGGAGGATTTTAAAACACTGTACTTTAGTAGTGTTTTATACCTTGGCCAGTGATAAACATAGAAGGAAATGGCCTGATCTGAGGAATAAATATGCACATGGATAAATAAACAAAAAGATTGAACACTGAAATCCTTTTTTTTGAACAAGAAACCTCTGAAACATACTTATAAATTCAAGGGCACATTATACAATATTTTATTGTAATGAAAAACAATGGTAAACATCTCTCTTATTTTACAATAATTACAAAAAGGTGTTCCCACATTTCCCCTCATACTGAATTTTACAATTCTCATAAATTTAATATATGGAATATCYTCACATTATTACAGATCTTGCATTTGGTTGCAATAATATTGGTGAAGAGCTTAGTTCCCAATTCCAACTAGGGAAAACAATCCTTACATTATGCAAAACATATTGTTTCATTTCAGAGTCCAGTCCCGAAATGGAACCAGGTTTTCCTAGAGGTATAAAAGTATAAAAAAAAGTTACCACATAAACCTCTGTACTTCATCACTATTTTCCCATYTGAATGTTCTGTTTAGAAAAAGATAAAAAGTTACAGCATTTACTAAAATATAAAAAGCCAGCTCCAGAAGTTGCCTATATAGAGACAGAAATGGAATATTGAGCCTATATATTAAGAATGGCAAAATAAAGTAACGAAATTCTAGCAATTTTTGAGGAACTGTGACTGCTAATAAACATACAAAATACATTAGGATCCAGAATATTGATTTTGATTTTAGCGTATCAGCAAAACTCCAGCCAGCAAATATATAGAATGGAACTAATAGGTATTTCACAAGCTCATGTCTTTGGAACACTTTTCTCCAAACATAAAATGTGTAATGTCGGTTATCTGCTAATAAATACTTATGAACATAGGTAAATTTCCAGATCAGGAATAAAGAGATGACAGTGATTAARCTGTACTGCACAGGGTGCTTTCGCAATGACAGAAGGAATTTCCTGATTTTAGTAGGGGTCAATAAATGAGGAAATGAAAAAAATACAGTAAAGGACAAAAAATAGAAGAGTTGAGGAAAGTGCAAACAGGCTTCATGACTACTTCTATCACCAACAACTATTCCACCATTGACAAAGACAAAAACAAAGAAAAGAGATACTAATATGATGTATGGCCAAGTTAAAGCAGTAAGTGTAACCAAGTTTTTAGGTGATATGAGATATTTAACAAGAAACAGCAGCATTCTGGTCAAATCTGAAAATGATCCTTTCCTGGAAGAAATCTTTTCATCTTTCTTTTTCTGCAGCTCAATCTTCCAAGCTTCATTYAGCTTCTCTGCAACAACATTTCCAGCACAAAAAACCGTCCACACAATATTCGTCTGACGAAACATGAAGCCACAAAATCCAAGGAGAGCAGAAGTTTTATGGTTACCATAAAGGCACATTAAATAGGAAAAGAGAGTAAAAAATACTGATCCTGGATCCGTATAATAAAGGAATGTGAAAAAATAAAGGGTGGGAAACACTGCAAGAGTYAATGCAGACAAGATTCTCTGGAAACCAGACACAGCCTAAAGAATAAGCAGAAAAAYGTGGTTAGACAATGTCCAATAAAATAAAATATTATATTAAAAGAAAATTAATATCATTCTTGAGAATTCTACTAACACAACATAACATCTCCTATGCTCTTTGCTCCCATTATTGCACAAATGCTGTATTTTTCTCAACCCCCTGCTGTGTTAATACGTTTACATAATGTTAACATCCAAGTGAAAGTACAGAACATTACTGCAGGTGAGCTAAAAATATGGCAATGAAAATACACCAACKTCTTTCACGTCAGGTGTGCACATATTTGGGGCATTAAAATCACGGTGGGAGCATAACTGGTCCCATACCTAGGATAAAAAATCAGCACTAATTGGCAAAAGAAAATAAAACCAATGGCCTATGCCCCTGTAATCACATAATGAAATTCTATTTGTGAGACAGCACTATTCTGTGCCTCTACTCTCACCTCTTTTGAACCCAGTCCACAGCATGGCCAACTCCAAGTTTCTCATCTTTGGTGCAGCTTTTATTGTTTATCCTCATAACTTTTAAAAAGGTAGKAGACCATGAAGTTAAAAACTCCTCCCAATTATCCCACTCATTCCATAATGGACCACAAATCACAACAGTAAAAAATGATCCATGATGTTTCTGAATGATGCAGCATGGGGTGAAACAACTACTCGGCACTTTACAGGAAAGAGGAATAGAGAAAATGCTGAGCTCAAAGAAGTGCCAGCGTCACTTAATGCCTAAACTGCTGTCATCAAACTTTTTGTTACATTTATCTTTTCACTTGCAAGTATAAAATTAAAAGTGGAAACAATTTATTTAATCTGATGCAATTCTGTACAATGTTATGTGCTTAAAGATGAAGTACTAAGTACTAAGAAAGTACAAGACCACAAGAAATTTTCTTTATAGTAAAGGAATCCTTCAGTTATTTGGGAAGAGGAAAAAATGTTTTAACATTAGAAGTTAAACTAAGTAACTTTCCTGAAGGATTTTGAATAGGCCACTAATCACTAAAACAATTTATCTACAGTGGTGGATGCTCCAGAACTTTAAATACACAGCATTAGTGTAGCCAAGCTGAACTGTTACAATCTGGATGTGTGGACAGCAAGACAGACAAAAACTGGCTGGATGGTGAATGGGTCACTCTCTACMCAAAGGACAGTAACAACCCAAGTACCACAGGGATCTATACTGGGACCTGTTCTGTTTAAAATCTTTATCAAAGACAAGAAAGCAGCGAGTGTTCACTGTCACAAAGTCTGTAGCTGACACTGCATAGGTGGGAYCAGGCAATTTGCTCAAGAGGATAGGTGTCATCCAGAGTGACCCACAAAGGCTGAAGGAATGGGTAACAAAAATATGATGAAATTCAACAAGGACAAATCCAAATGTTTGCAGCTGAAGAGAAAGAAATCCCCATAAATGATACAGGCTGCTGTGTGGACTGTTAAGCAATTCCAACTAGCTGAGCATTCAGATCTTTGGATAGTAAGTCTGCATATATACTTTTATTTCAATGGAACTCCTTATACATGTTGAAGAGTGAATTTTTAGAGGACTGCACCTTATGCGAGAAAAATGATACTAAAAAAAAATTAGAGAATAGGAATGTCCCTTCTTGGCCAAACTGATGGTGGTACTTGCAGTTACATAAAGCTAAGAACAGCTCACATCTGTAATGAAGGGAACATACACTAAGCCGCCTCTTGTCGTTGCTTGTACGAGTGCACAAAATTATTTTACTTTGACCGTACCTTATTCTTCTGATGTATCTTGAACAGAAGCAAATACAGTAAATAGAAGTTCCCAGCGCTGAAGAGGAGGTTGATAAACCTGAGCATTCCCACAGAGCACACCACGCTTCCCGTCCATCCGAGCAGCCACGCCGCGGGCTTCACCACTCCCACCGAGAGCAGGTACAGGCCGGGCAGGGTGGTGATCATGGGGTCCCACTGCAAAGCGACAGACACAGCGTTACGGAGCCGC